TGCGTTTTATGAATAAAAAACATTGCCTTATTTAATCACTCAGCCAGGATCTACGTTGGGGGAGAATTTTCTAGTTGATTACGAAAGCCTGTCTGGCAAGTTTAGTTCCAATCTTTCTGAACCCGACATAAAACCGTTTTTAAACTTTACTTTCTTCCACTTGAGTGGCTCGACAAGGCTCTACAATGAAGTTGCCTCTTTTAAAGTTAACATTAAATCTTTAATTAGTGTCCTCATATCATCATTTTTAATTAATTTTTTCGCTTGAAATATAAGTTTTTGGTATAAAAACCGTTATTAAACTTGTAAGGAGTTTAGTAACGTGAGTCGTGTCAAGTTATTTTTGCTTGAGTACATTAATTTGGGAGTTTTAGCATTATGGCAGCAAATCTGCCAGTCCCACGGAAAGTAATATCTGGTTAATGTGGCTAAAATAGGAAGTATAGGCGTAATCTCATTGCTTAAACTATAAATCTGGGTGTTTTCTGTAATAAAACGAGATTCTAAAGGGAAGTTTTTAACAAGAAAACACTAATCTAAGGCAGTTTCGATTATTCGTCGGCTCGACACGTGAGTCCTGCTAAATTTGGGAGAAATTTTGCTCCTATGTTTGCCGACCCTATCAAGGTTGTTGAGGTTGTAATATTTACATGTTGATCTCGAGTATCAGAATTCTGGCGTAAATAGGAAGACCAATATGCTATGGCTTGTGGTTTAGTTGCTGACTATTTTATCTGATTAAAGGTGTTTTTTTCAAACTGGTTTGCACTACTTTCTCGTGTTCTTAGGAAGAATGCGAAAATGTAACTCGTATTTTGTCTCTTGCAAATATTTTGATAAGACCTGCCGGCCTGCCTATCCACTGTTGACTAGGACTGTAACACGAATCTCTTACCATATTGGCAATTATGCAGTCTTTCAAACGTTATAACTCAATGGCTTCGCTGAAAGTCAAAGTCGTGGCTAGACCCACTATCAGGTCTTGCAGCATAAGTAGAAAAATAACGCATGATATCAACAATCAGATTACTTATCTTCTTATCTAACGCAAGCATGCTCATAATGGATATACATAACATCGAATATATGAACAAAATCTTGATTTCCAAAAATCCTTCAATGAGTTATTGTGACTCGAATTTCCATTTTGAAGGAAATTTTGGCCAGAAGAAATTCGTGAAATAGCCTCATCGGAGTCCGAAGGAGCAATGCCACGAGAGGTCCACGGCTTACCATCCAGCGACGCCGAAACACCCGTGCCAAGCTGTCGTGTTGTATCGTAGTGACAAGCATAATCAGAGCAAGAACTCATAGTAATTTTGATGTGTACCCCAAGAGAAAAGGGTAATTATATTAGTAGTCTATTTCGTAAGCTATGATTCTTGCTCTGACTATGTGTGTCGTATGACAGACGAAAGCTCAGAACGGATTTATCCGAGATATTGGATGATGAACCGAGGACTTCTTCGCAAATTTCAAAAGTCTTCTCTACGTAAAAATCCCCCTTTATTTTCTCGTTTATGAGCTGGTTTTCTTGACTACCAGTAGATCGTATATATGGAATGTATTCACCCTATTTCATTTTAAGTGAAATAGGTGTTATGACCGAGGCAGGGTTGAGACTGCACTCCATTTGAGTCTACTTCGGTCAGGATGATAATACCTTTTAGGAAGTAAAGGTTAAGTTTTCTAATTACGTTAAATTATCACTAATAGTTTCGTATCTATGCCTACACATGAAATCCTGTAAGCATACACTGAAATACCTACGTACAAACATGCTTGTAGAGTGAAAATCATTCAGTTCATAAATAGGTAAATTCTAAATCAAGGTAATCTTCGCAACCAAACTTTTCTTGGCGCACACTAAATGTAATCCAATGGAAAAGTGAGACTTTCTCGAGTCATTGTGAGAAGAATCAACTATACGTTCTGCGTCACCTTATGTCATCTATAGGCAGTAGCACTAGTATTCGAAATTTAATAATTTCTTTAACTCGACTCCAACAACAAAACTTGTCGTCTATATGACTACTTTGGATAATTGAATGCAACTCCTTGGGGTAGAAACTACAATTACGATTTGTGTAGATGTTAACTGACGTTTTATAAAGAAACGGTTTAATCTAGTTTTCTCAAATTATTCGCCCATATGAGCGCACTCTGTCCGGAGACATCAGTCATGGTAGAAATGATAATTTCCAACATTAAACCTTTGATTTGGGAACGTACCAAGTCCATGGTCCGACGCTGGAACTGAACATGGTTGCCTTGAGGATATGACCACGTTGCGAGAATTGAGGTGGGACAAATACACATATTTTTTGTTTGTAAGTATCACTAGATCGTATATATGAAATGCAACCATCCTGTTTCGCTTAGGGTGACAATGGGATTAACTGTGAAATTTTCCCACAATCATGCTACTCAACATAACGTATCCTGCTTATCCAAATGATATTCTCATCCAGACTAGACTGGACTACAGTTTATACTTCGCCTGAACTGGTCTCATCAGCATCCCCAGTCGAAGTTGAGGTATGACAATGCCATTTATAATCTCAACACATTGACTACTACACCGCAAAGCCCTTAGCCAGAGGGCAGGAGAGAGGACCAACCCTTTGCCCATATCGCATTCTCTATTGGGGTTGTCGATGAAGTAAAATTGTATTTACTATAGCAATCAATTATACTACTTATTTTGGTTTATAAGTAGGCTTTGAGACTATCAGTGGATTGTATATATGAGGAGCATTCATCTTATTTCATCTTGTAAATAGGGATGCATTATTAAATTGAATGGAAACTTAGGCTCCCTGCTTATTATTGTGGGAAAATTCAACTAGCAGTAAGTGTTGATATTACCCTAAAAGAAATAGGATGAGTACTTATCTTGTAACTGCCTACACTTTCGACCCGGCCACTGCAACAATTACTACCGATATTTTACCATTACACCACCAGTTCCATTCACTCACAGGGTAACTAGGCCTCCTCTAAGTCACACTTTTGACAGTGTGATTGTTGCTGGAGCACACCTACGGTCTACAGCAATAGATGCATTCATTTTCTGTAGGATTTCACTACTATCTGTATATGTTGAATAAGAGCTCGATACAGCAAACTTTTCCATTATCATATGAATTTGCCGCACAACAGGATCGAATTTCTTTAAAAATCTACACGACTACATTCGCCCCCAACGGGACTCGAAGCGATCTCAGCCAGCGGGTCGGTGTTGAGCTCAAACATTTGCTAGAGCCAATTAAGGCAAGAGTCGAATTGCAGGCAATGCTACTTGCACTCGAAGTGAGTAGTATTGCCAGACCATGGCTAGATGGGGGAATTGTGCCCCACTTACCTCAGACTGGGCAGCAGAGAAGGCGTTTCGTTGGACAGTGTGACTCTGTGGAAGGCTATGGCTGTACACAGGTTGGGTGTGCCAGGGTCGAGTGTCAGTTGGCGGATCGGCGAGTGGAGGAGAGATGGGACGACTGAGACGGAGGCAAGAGCATTCGAGGGGATTAATCCAGAAGCGGCCGAAAGAGTCCTGTTGACAGCGGCTCTTCTCGTCGGCGTCTCGGCCGAATCTGCGTTGTGGGCGCTCGACGGTTCGTGAATGACTCAAAATCCAGGCCGTTGTGCGGTGCCCGGGACTGGGCCGGTCTCGTCTGCCAGTCAAGTCACAGACTGTGCAGGGCGTTGGTTGGCACTGGTGAAATAGGCTCAAGGCTCTCGGGCCGGCCGGGCTTGGCAGGATCTCGTCCGGAACCGGCCTGATCAGCCAACCTCGCCCGGTCGGCCATCCCGGTGGCTGTCAGTCGCCCGACGACCCGACACGCTGTCGCTGGGGCGACTGCGCGACGAGCCTATCTGGCCGTCGTTACGGCTGCTAGCGTGTGCTCGGGGTGGCGCGAGGCTGGGGCTTGGCTCGGGGTGGGGCGCCTGGCAATAGGTGCAGCCAGACAAGATGTCCGGCCCAAGCAGACAGCAGGACAGCCGGTTTGGGCTAGCTGGACGGAGCTATAGCTCCTACTCTCCACACACACACACACACACACAGTCACACACAAACACACACACACACACACAAACACACACAAACACACACACACACACACACATACAATCATACAGACATAC